TACAGTTACAGTTACAGTTACAGTTACAGTTACAGTCAGTAACAGGGCTACAGTTACAATAATTAGAGGTACAACAAAAGTATTGAATAATATTCAATACTTTTGTTGTACCCCTAAATATATTCAATGAATATGGGATAGAACTGGACAAAAAAAGGCTTAACAACTTAATGATAACAACTTAACGATAACAACTTAATGATAACAATAACAATGACATTAATATTTGATTAAGCCTTTAATCACTCCCTAAGAGTGTTGGCATAACAATAACATTGTCAAAACGGTATAAACGTGCAGATAATATTATAACATTATGCAAATAACATTGCAGGGCAGCTTTATAGTTGATATTGAAATGTTGATAGTATGAGGTGTTTATTTTTGACATGATCATCATAGCAGCAGACATTACGGCACGTGAAATCAAATCTAATTTTGCAAAAATGAAAATTTGGGTGTTATTGACCACAGCTCTATCTGTTAAAGACCGGGTGCACTATTTCATCTTTTAAAATCTTTTAAAAGATTTTAAAAGATTTTTCGGGAAATAAATCTCTAATTTCAATGTTATGCACTTCGGCAGATCTGATGACAAAAGAGTAATTGTAAATTATGGAGGTAAATCCAAAACTAGGTCCACAAACGCCAGTCCGAAACATACATTACTGCAGGAGAGACCTGATTAAGTACTGAAGGAGGCGGGAAAAAAATCGCACAATTACTGTGACATATGATTACTTGACCGGTAGGGTGTTTACTAGGGTGAAATTGCAATTCTATTCGATCAACCGGCAAACTTAGGTCCGTCAACCGGTCAGTATTTCGGAGGACAGTAAGTATTGCGGAGGAGGGACGTTGGAAGAAAATTCTTGATTGAACGGGGGACAAACAAGATACGATTTCGGACTTTGGTGCCGGGCAGTTGACACATGAATGAGGGTCATTACGTTTTACAGTCGGAGGAATGTTGGATTCAGACCTGAATTCTCATTCATGAAGACGGGAAATTTGATGCACGTTCGTGAGATTTTTTTTGCGGGAAAATAATGATGTCGGAACAATGGCTTATAGTTGAATTTACTGAGTTGCATAGCGTGGTGTTAATACTCTAACGTGATTGGCGGATGTAGGACAGTATTGGAGCTGTGATTTGTGGATGATAATCACGTGGGTGTCACGTGACCCGAGTGAGCGTGACGCAGGGCTCCTCACAACACAGGAGAAGAAACAACTACCAGTAATTACAGCTCTGTCACTAACATGCAGCCGCGCAGGCACTTCACCACCATGTCGCTCCTTCTTAGGAATTTAGTTCAAATTGCATATTCATCAAGTTCGTGAGTGTGGTGGTGAAAATACCGCATCCTTACCTCAACATTCTCTGAACCTCGTGCCAGTGGAATTATGCACCAGACTGGGATAGTCTAGAGCCAATGAGTGCTGCTGATTTTGATCACGTGACAATGAGAGCCAATGGGAGCCGCTGATTTTGATCACGTGACAATGAGAGCCAATGAGTGCTGCTGATTTTGATCACGTGACTTGATATTTTGCCGCGTGGGCTGAGAGCACTAAGGACCAATGGGGCACGTGGTGAAGTAGGAATTGAATGAGATTAATTTTGTTAATTAGATTATCATTCTGATGCAGTTGTTTCCAGCAGATTACAATGGTCACAATGCTCCACGACATGCTTCACAGCGCTGTTATTATTATTATATTATAATCAGGTATTAAAAAAACAATCTAATAACACAACATTGTCTAGACGGTCAGGTATTATTTGGATATTGGCTGACACAAGAAGAACAATATGAAAAAAGCTGCAGTACGCCACACGGCTCTGAAGGTTAGTGTGATCTCGTGGCGTCTCGAGAACGCATGGTATGCCGTGATATAAAATACGTCGGTCACCAGCCAAGATGGACATTTGAATACTGTGGTAAAATTTCGAAGTGACAGGCACTTTATGTACGAAAGATCTTGTGATTAATTTAGGGAGACTAAACACTATTCCCACTACCGAAACTTGGCCGAAAATTAAAGATCTGCAGCATATTTTTAGAAAAAAACGTACGAAGTTTCTTTACAGTCGTATTTTTAGCAGTTGTATTTTTAGAAATCGATTGAAATTTAAACTATAAGGTATTTAATTTAAACGGCATCGGTTTAGAGTTCCTTCAGTTCAAATAAATCACGAGGCTCGAATTTATAGAGTCAAACCAGAGTTTATAATGTATGAGTGGAGCGGACTGTTGTCTTTCTGGGGCCAGACTCACAATAGCCTGATCTCTGGTATGCAATATTGGGAATATTCATTACTCATTTTGTTTTATATCTGGGTGGGATCTTCATTCTTCAATGACAATGGAATGTAGGCTATGCCAATTAGCGAAAGTTTAGGGGCTGCATTTTTGAGCTCTTTTTTATCTTTAACCCACAGGCTGTAAGGTATGCTAGTTTTTGAAGCCCTTGCTTTTCCACAGAAATCCCTGCTACATAATTCGGAGAGGCTGTCGAGCTCTGGGCCCATGTTAAGGCTCTGGGCCCATGTTGAAGCTCTGGGCTTGAAAGGAGGCTGTATAAGTTCAGAACACAATAAGTTTTACGATCGACATTTAAACAATAAACGAATATATTTCAGTGCTAGGGCTGAAAGAGGTGAAGGTAAAACTGAAATTTACATGAAGTTACAGGTTTCTAAATGAATATCTGGTTATTAGCTCAGACTGAAACAATAAGGACAATGTTTACATCGATAACCATATAGGTTAATAGTAATACAGAATAAACAATGAGATACTTTAACTTAAAAAGACATTTTAAGGGCATAAGTGTAATTCCTAGTGAGACAAAATAAAGACATTGACATTTAACATTTAAAGTAAACAGTTTACAGTTTCACACAGTTAAAACGGAAGATTCTTTTTCAGACCCGCAAACAGAGTCTCAAAATTGAGGCTGAGTATGCCCTTGAGAGTAACGCGTGTGCCATCACGTGACGTCATCATTGCGTCATCACTATCAGCTTGGTCATGTGACTGCATCACACATAAGCTAGGTTATCAGTTTAACACATAAGTAACCCCTGAACCCAGAATATATCAAGAGAAGAAGGCTTTTAGAGGCAAAGAAATTTCATCTAAAAAGATAGAGGTCCCCAACATGAGACCGCTGCTCCTCTCATCCCAACCAATATCCAAATAATAGAGATACTATCAAGATAGTATCCAAGTTCCACAGACGAATAACTCAGAAGAACACACGTTAGTTTACAAGACGATCTTAAGATCATTTGAAATAGTTTATTTAAACATGCAGTTCATGCAGCAATATGACATCATAATTTACTTTAAATACCAGTATTTACAACTTAACAGGTTACAGCATATCTTAACGCCACACATTTATTATTTTTACATAATATCTTAACCAATGTAAGTATCGTTTATTCTCGCGGGAAGTAATCTAAACTTACTCTTACCAGTCAGACGTTTATTGTTTAGCGTTTGGGAAGTAATGGGTCTTGGGACCTAGATCCGTAATCGAGTAAGACTAAGAAGAGGGTTTACGCTCATTATAAAATAGTCAAGTCACGGGTTAAGCGTTCATTGTAAGGAATATCTCCAACTGGGCGAAACTACACCGACTAACAGATGACAGATGCCCTAAGTATTCTTGTGGGAGGATTGGAATTCCTGGAATGCCGACCCTTACTAATTGCAGCAAGCTTGCCAGTGTTATCCTTCCGGCAAGCTTCACACGGATACTGAACTGTTGGTGAACTGTAGACTGTTCACGATCGTATGTTGTCCTGAACTTTGATTGGTCAATTGCAGGCAGGTGTTTAGTCTCTGTATTCTCATTGGTCAGCTTGAATTTGTCTAGCCATAGGTCGTGTAAACAGTGTTTGTATTAGTAAAATACAGTGTAAACATGTTGTGTGTAAAATAGCCGCTGTATGGTTTAAAATAGCCGCTGTATGGTTTAATACCGTCAAGTTGGATTGGGGGGGGGGGGGGGGGGCGGTGATAAATCCAATTTACCACACCAGGGATATGCTTAGTTTCCTCCGGAAAGTTTGACACCTTACAAAAATAGTACCCATCCTCAGAAAAAATGAAGAATAGCCAAGGGTTATCTTCAGATCGCTCAAGTCACTGTTCGTCTACAACTATTTGGCAACAATGTATCTGATTTTTTGTTAACTCAATTATCTTTCTATCGCAAGTATACCGGGGGGGGGGGGGGGGGGGGGGGGGGGGGGGGGGGGGGGGGAGGGAGGGGGGGTGACCCCATCACTGCAACGATATGTCAAACAATGTTCTCTTAACTTGGCCAGCCAATTGTCTTATTTCACAGACTGTCAAACTCATTCCGTGTCTGTAAATACACACAACAAGTAGGTTCTGTCAAACAAATACCATCAGTTCTACATTGAGAATGAGCTGTTGTAACAAAAGTTCATTCGCCACGAAAAACACCGAAAAATCACACAGACAACTCGACGGACAAATTCAGTTTTACACCAGACCAACGAATTGACGGACCTAGAATGGTCTGGGCTCGGACTAATACGAGAGTTGCCCCCTAAGCTACTAGACCACAATATCGTACAAAGTCTACAAGTTTAGACAGACTAAAGTGCTTCACGTACGATGGTACACCGCCCTGTACTCTACAAATTGCCCACAATACTGTTAGACACGGTGATGGATTGGAGAAGTCACGCACTTTTACGGTTATCGATGTCTGTTTGGTGCTTGAAACTGATGTTCAATTTGGGCACGTCTAGTTTATAAACAGTAGTGGTTGAAAGTACGGTAGATCGCTATGTCTAAGTGCTGAATATCATGCAAATCAGTGTTATAATGCTTCGCGAAGATCGGATCAAAGGTGGGGCGGCGGTATTATCACAAAACATACAATCTACACGTGCAAAATGAGTGAAACAATATAGCACGTGCAAAGCAGCTGAATTTAGGGAAAGTACTTACTTCCAGCCGACAGTTGACATGGCATGAGAAGGACACATAATTTCCACTGTTCTAGTTCGTCTCTCTGCTTTATCCATCCTGAAAAATAAAGTTTTATCGTTTGATGAAGTGATTGATTGATTAAATTTTAATAAATTTACTAAGAGAGCTATAGGAAGATATTGAAAAAGGTCTCTATAGTAGGAGTTATCATACGGGTTCTTCTATTTTCACTTTCTTCTAGATCCTGATTTCTAAGGATTCTTTTAATTGAGTTTGACTATCGTAGAGTTGGAAAGGTGCGACAAATTAAACGGTATTCCAGAATCCCTAAAATCTCGACAGAACCCACTAGGGTTTAACCTCGCATATTATTACAGACCAAAATGTGTCAGCCTAATTAATCGACATTCCACTAATTAATTGATAATGATCCAAGTACGTGCGGACATGTATTGTTTGCATAACCTTGTGGACAAATAGCAGCGTTATGTAAGGCTGTTCCTTTTAAGCACAGAAGTCTGATAGTGATGTCTGATAAGAGTACGAATTACTGATTGCATTTGAGACAATGGTTTAATCGGGATGAATTAATCTCTGTTTTCAGTCGAGTCTAGTATCAAGCCTGTTACAAAATACTATATACTCTAAATTCTGTTCAAGTATTATCTGACACAATTCAAGTAGTTTCCTTGTGAAATGTTCCCTGAATTGTAGCTTAAATCTCGATAAATGTCCATCTATATTATAGCAGTGGAGTATAAAAGGTCCTTCACAGATAAAGGGCTGCGTCATCGTTATTTAGAGGTTAAGAAGGGGTCGATAGGATTCTATTTACGAAGATTAAAACTAGCAGTTGCACAGAAATCGCGAAATATCTTGTCCGCATGTCACACGATTCTTTATAGTCTGTAAGCCATGATCGCGATTATCAAATATAAAATTGGCAGTGAAAAGTGAGGAAGAAAACAACAATTTAGCCTGAATCATTAACGCAAAATCTGTGATATTTTTGTGTCATAACATTTAATTTTTATATTTGGCTTCAGTGGTGACTGGGGTGGCAGAAAAACCTGCTAATAGAATCATCGTGAAAAGACATGAAAAGTAGGCGTTAACACCGGAGGTTTTAAACAACAATTCGTGTTAAACATTTGTGCATGTACGTAAGTTAGCTGTGAATGAAAAATGGATTTCCTTGAGCCGGATTCTATGAAGCAGAGGAGATATATTTAAAACCAGCAAGTTCCGAACGGCCGGGACCAGAAAGAACGCTGCGTTCATGCTAAAACATCTCGAGTTGATACTCTAAGTTGCAGTTTTAAAGTCTGGATTTACACGAACACCGAGCTGGGATGGGCCAGGACATTAGTCGTGGACATTATTCGACACACACTATCCTTCTCCCAGCTACCGGGAAATTTCTACCTCCGAAACTCCTGTAACTCGTGCTGCAGTAGAGGCTACAGCTTCTAATCATTGGCACTGGTATCCTTCTTTGATTGCAACGCTGGAATTCGTATAGATAACATCCAGAATCAATTATTGATCAATCCCAGGAGTTGATATATATAGACGCAGAAATTATTTAAGCAGTCAAGTGTCTAGTGTTCTAGCTATAATATCGACATTATTATGTGCAGTTGTCATTGCAATTCGTTCCCGGGTATGGTGAAAATCATTTTTAACAGATCCTGATAAACAGAAGATGCGTCACTGATATCATCAGGAGCAAAACATAACTTACGCTATATTTCACATACAGGTGTACTTAGTTTACTACGTGTTGTATTCCTTTGAGATTAGGTTTAAAATAATGTTTATTCTATTGTATAGGCAACATTAAATCACCACAGCAGGTTACAGCGATGTTGAAATCTGACTCTACCACAGTGGAGGTGGTGGTCATGAGAATTGCTTATTTGGTGCGTCACTTCTGGAACCTGATTGGTCAATCAATAAAATGTGTAAAATAAATTTGCCCAGGTATGGATAGTACTTCATTCACCTTCAGCTTACAAATTCTGGGGGAATTTCTGTCCCTCAACAACATTCAGGTATTTACGAATATTTTTGGGACTAGAAACACCGGCCTACACAGCAATGAGGGAGTATTCGCCAAAAGAGGAAGGCATGCGACACATCAGGCCCTACAAACTTTTACAGATACCTTCCGACATCTATACATCAAAATATCCAGCTATTGATCTCCATCAAAGGGCACATTGAGATCGGAATTGATCATTCCCAATATAAAGGGTTGGTGACGAAAAGGTTAGTACTTAGTTTGTCTTAAAATAGATGAGGACGATGAAAGTTGCACGTGCACCACAGTTCAATACTCCAAATCACGTGACACTAGCTGCAATGCCCGTGACAGTGACCCCAGCAACAGGAAGTAGTGTGTTATCTAAGCCGCGATGAGAAGATCAAAGGAGTTGGAGACACGTGAGGCGTGGGATGAATGAGGCCACGACGACTACTTTTAACTGCCCCAATTGAAATGCACATTTAAGTGGGGTTCAACGGAAACGTCAAACATGTTTCAGGTTTCAGTATAACCTTCTGTTTCGTCGTTTCAGGTTGTAGCAACTTATCCGGGCAGAGCGATGACGACGCGAGGAGAGGAGTGTGATAATTTGTCACTCGATAACTTGTCAGTATCTGTTCCCATTATCAGTAATTTGTCCATTTTACATAATTACAACTACTCAGTACTATTTTTTCACCCCACACCCTTTGTTTTCATCCAACTCTTTTAGGAATCTATCTCTCACCATACCATAGTTCAGTTTAAGTGGACCAATTTAAAAATGGAAGACCCTTAAAATATTAAGTCGATAAAAATCTAGCCCTAGATTTTAGATATTTAATGTGTTTATAGCAAGGACATCTGATGCAAATTATTTCCAAATTACGGCGATTATCTTAAGTGTTTGGTTATTAACTTCAGGAAGGATAAATATTGGTAAGTAAAATGTTTTATGCGAGGAGTTTCAGGTAGGCAAAATAATGTGATCTTTATTTGTAGGTCTATCACTTCTTTATATCACGTTCTTTATATAGACAATCATGACAACAATATGGTTAACGTATATAAAAAAGCAAAATCTCTATAACAGAGTTTGAAAACTCGACCTCAACCCAACTGAGATAAATGATTCTGATCAGTAAGAATATCTAAATATTGATTATGTGTTATAGATCAGTCGAGTTATTCAATACTTTGTTTAACATAAAACACAATGAAAAACGAGGACGTGTAGGTCCACCAACATGTATACAGCGACACCGCGGTGAACTTACGGTCACAAAAAATAATTAGTTATGAAACGAGATTCTTTACATTCCCTGTTTACCATAATGTTTGTATATAAGTATTAATTATACATCCTTATATTTATAACGTTGTACAGTTAATAAATAAAAATTCTTTCTCTTGCGAACTAAAATCATGTTCCTAACTAAATAATGTTTAATTCCGACATTATCCCTGAAAACAATAACTTCAACATTAAAATTAAATAATTGAATGGAGGATTAAGATCGAATTCATATAAAACATAAACAAGGCCATCTCAATATAAACGCAAGATACATCTTCAAGCAGGGGTGTTCACACAACCACCCCTTTCAGTTCAAAACTTAGAACATAGAAGATAGAAGATGATATTGAAAATATGTCATTATATAGCATTTGAAATAACATTGCAACAAATATTTTAGTTTAAAGTTTATTCTTGCCACGAAATCACACGACAGGATATGTAACTTTGACTAATTATTATTAAATTCCTAAATTAAGTAATTTAGTCCCACTACAGCTACAATTTTAACTTTCTCTTTACAATTTCGTTGTCACGATCACGATATTATTGTTAAAGATTCGAATAAATTGTTGTATCATTTAAGATTTATCTGTTTGTTTGTGACTTGTTATCAAACCAAGTCACCACATCATTTTTCGTTGATTAGCAAGTTTAAAAGTTCCATAGATAAAAAGATGTTCGTGGCCAGACGATTCGCCTAAATTAATGAAGTCCTGTCAGCTGGATTTCCGGAACACAGAAGGTTGTGCAGTCAAGTGGAGTGGAGTAGAGTGCTGAGCGTTGCAGTGATGAAATGATGACGTCAACGTTTCACCGTTCCGTCTCGGCCTCTTGCAATCTCGCTGGGCACCAGGAGTAATTCACATACATTTCACTTGTGCTCGTGCTTGTCTATTGGGGTTATGTCGCATCCTGGAAATTAAAAACACTCGTCAGAGAAGAGATTAATTTTAATGTGAGTTCTGTAAAACAAGGGGATATGGGATCATAGAGATCAGGTCGATACCATACACTTAATTCATATCAACGAGTTCAATACGCTAGGTGAGTAACACGAAATATGAAGGAACATCTTCAAAAACTACTACTAAATTTCTTGTTGTACACACGTTTATGTGAATTGTTCAATTTGGTTTTGTCTCTGTAGTAATCGGGTAAATGTTATGTAGCAGCGACAACATTTAAGTCACTGCCAGTCTCGCTGTTTGCAATAAAACTACTTTACTAATTTGAGTACATAAATAATAAATTAACTGTAAGCATTATAGATATCATACCAGCAGTTTGAAGTCTGTACAAATCTGTCTAAGTAAGCTTATTATTTGGTTCGACGTCAGTAAAAAATGATCGGGGCAAGAATAAAGAACGTCACCTGATTTGTAAAAACAGTTGGACTTCTTTGACAGGCGTGTAGTATAAAAAGTCGAAGTTCGGTAAATGAACTGCAGTAATTGTCATGGCAGTAACAACAAGTCGCCTGCCATGAACAGTTCACATGGTTCATAACCAGCGCGCGGCTTTTTAAACGACGTCGCGCACTGAATTTGGCATGAAAGACGTTAACAGTATTACCGCGTATTCCAGCGAGTTGCTTAATCAAACATAATGAGTGCAGATCTGTAGTTAGTCAGTAAAAGTTGGGAAAACGCTTCAAGATTATACCAATAATTCGGTCCAATCTCTCAATTATCAATCTGTCGTTACAAAAACCACAATGGCAGTTTAATAGGTTGCCTAATCTAGTTTCCTTCAAAGTTCTGTCG